CCAGTGTCACAGATGTCACGGAACTCGACGTGGATGACGGAAAAAAATAATTAAACATGGTAGTCTTTCTGAGGTGACGTCGTGAAGCGCCGCAGACGTGGCATCAGTTGTCATCCGCTGTGACACACTACATGAGATAAAGCTATTTAATCTTGCGTCCCGATGCCCATTGTCATTTACAAATCCCCACGACACCCTACTTCAAGCAGATCGTGCCAAAATCAGGCTAAAATCATGTAGTCTGAACCAGGCTTTAGTCATATAGCTTTAGAACAAAATGAGGAGAATAAATGATGGAATTTTATATTCACTACAGTTCAAACATTTGGAATAATTAATGTTTAAAAAGAAGTATCTTCTGCTCACCAAGGCTGCATTTATTTGATAAAAAATACAGTAAAAACTGTGAAACATTTTAACAATTTAAAAAAGCTGTGAATATGTTAAAATGTAATTTATTGACACTGACCCTCTTAATGAACCCAAACTTTTTTAATGGGAATATATATCTATATCATTAACAAGAAATAATCATTACTGGTTTGTGTAAGTGTCTTGTGTGTGTTGTGAATGAAGGGTGTGTGTGTGTATTATTGTGTGTCCTCCATGAGTGATCTAGCAGTGATCGGACTGCTTTAACGCTCTCTATTTGTCATTCTGTGCTAATCTGTGAATGCTGTGTTATTTTTCTAGCGGGTAGAGAAACCTCGTCCACACAGAGGACATCAAATGATGCTTCAAAATGTGATACACATTTTAATTTTACACCCCATCAGATTTTACTGCTGCCCTGGCAGACCATAAAACCAGAGAGAGAGAGACAGAGAGAGAGAGAGAGAGAGAGAGAGAGTGGGAAAGATTGTCAGCTTTATGGCTTACGTGGTGACGGGGGACAAAGGTGTGAGGAGAGTTGGCACAGCCAGTGGTCCCGGAAAGACAGAGCCCCGCACAGCTCACAAACTCTGCTCAACAGAGAGAGAATGTGTGAAAGAGACAGAGGGAAGAGTGTGAAACAGACAGAGAGAGAGAGAAAGAGAGCGATAGAGAGGTAAGCAATCACGGTCATCCAGCAGTCTAACAGAGGCTGTTCAGAAAAAAGAAAAAAAAAAGAATAAAGATTTGTCTGAATGTAAACAACAAGCTGCAAGAAGCAACTCTTTCTTGATGCGTGTCGTCTTTGTGTGAGAAGCACAAGGATCCGTCTTCTCAGGACTGCTGAAGTCATCCAGTCAGTACCTCTGTTCATCAGCATACAGCAGCAGGACTGTAGTTTTATGGAGGCCTCTAATGGTGTGGAATGAGCTCTGTAAGAACTGTAGCAGCGATCTGCTGTCTTTAGACGGGCCTGAGTTCACTAGTTAACACTCAAGAGCTCCAGGCAATGACAGAGTAACGTGTGTGGAGCCAATTAGAGTGACAGAAGCTCTCGCTCACACCACTCCCCTCTCAGACGCACTTCACTTAGAAGTTTCTGCTCTATATGAAGCCTTGGACTTCATTATACAGTTCATAAGTGTCATCTAGCTCCCTCATTTGACAACAAATTGGTCAAAGAGTAAGTAAAACTAGATCTTTACCCTACAACACACAAGATTTCCCACAAGATTTCTCAAGTCACAAACTTACAAAACTAGACATCCAGACCAAAACTGTCCAATAACCAGCCTGTCCATTTGAGTAAAACAGCATTCATGCAAGACGCTGCCATGGAATTACTGCAAGACATCTTGAAGACACTGGCACCTTATGCTTGAGGTAACTGTGATCAGTAGTCTTATCCTGCCAACAAACCAGCTGCTCATCCCTGCTTAAAGGAATAGCTAACCCAAATTATCTTCTTTCTTCAAACCAAACTAAAATAATGATCAATCCATCTATACTCACGCCCAAATCCAAAATGATGACGCATCAGTAACCAGTGAGTTTGATGTTACTGATATGTCGTCATAATGGATTTGAGCGGGAATTTGGTTTGGTTTTTGGTTAAATAATCACTTCAGTTTTCCTGTGTTTGTCATATAAAGTGATCATTTCGCTTCAGAAGATTAGGATTAAACCACTCGGGTTTTATTCTTTAATGCTCTTTTTGGGGCTTTTTAAACAGAATTGGAACAACATTAGAGTGAGTAAATGATGACAGAATGACCACTTTGGAGGATGGTGGCTGGTCAGTCAGTACTTAACCAACTAACAACCTGCTTAAACCAGCTATTATGTTCTAAAACAACAGCTACCAGCATAAGCAGAACAAGACCTCAAGATGAGATGGTAAGTCTCACAGCAATCAGATGATGTATAAATTCAGAGATAAAAAGACAATTATTTTTTTCCATTTAGCAGGAATAACTGTTTATATATATGATTTAAAGAAAGTACCATATGTAGGGTATCAGACCGAATCAGACAATCTAAGATTTAGACAAAAACACAGTTGAAACACGAGGAGCCAAATTCCACGGAGGCCCAAGACACAGGATGTTCGTAAATCAGATCGAACAAGCCTGAACCAAGCCTGAACCAACCACAAGCCTGAACCAACTAGCAGCTTTGAGTAGCTCACAGCATTTAAACAAAAGAACACTTATTGACAATTCCAAGGAGATTGTCAATTTTGGGGGCAAGTAATCAAGATTAATGGTCAGAGATGCACAGCGTGACCATCACATGTAAACCAGTGATAGTGATCACAAGCTATGTGGACTGACTTCCCCCAACTCTTACAAAGAACAGACTTTCAGAGATTCCTTACAGACCTCTTAATCTCTGGTCTTCATACATTCACAGAATGGCACAGAAACTGCCTTTCCATGCACCAAAATGAACTAAAAGGACTTGTGAGCAACTAATCATTTCTATGCATAACTCCATATTATGTATGTAACCCACGTGTGTGTCTATCAGGTCTTAATCATTTATTATGTATGTATTTTGAATAACTATTGAATAGTTTATAGGATCATATTCATGTTTAGTATATGTGTGTTTGAATCTTCTTGCTGGAAACGTTTCTTCCAATCAATCAATTCTTTGTCAAATGTATCATATTCTTGTTATAGAAATCATGTCCAAAAGTATACTCTGCAAGAGTGTTAAAACTCGGACCATGTGCCTGATGAGGTAACATTTTGATTTATGAATTGGGAGGACAAATATACAACACCCCGAGCAAAGACGACATCTAATTGGTCAAAACACCATTTGTGAGGTGTCCAAAAGCCCAGTTTAAATACTCAGGACACCATCAAATCACTCTCTTGGCTCTTCTACGCTCTTCTTCAATCCCCTTTTTTTCTCGCTCTTTGTTTCACTCTCTTCTTTTTAGTCATAGCTTTGAGCTATGCTTTTTAATCATGCTTCTTTAGCTTTTTGAGCGTGCTCTGGCTTACATGCCAGCTCCTCCAAAACCACGAAGAGAAACGCCACCTAGTCTCGTCAAACTTTACTTCTATTTTTTTACTTTAGTTTCTTTTATTTTCCGTTGAGAGTTTCGTGTTCTGAGTTAAGTTTTGCC